ACCCGGCTAGTTTTTTAAAAGTTTTCGTTTAGGCCTTGTAATAGGTTGGCCGTCGGGTCTCACTGTGGCCTTTTGCTTTTTATTTCACAAATGACTAATGGTGTTCAGCATCGTCTCATTCAGCTCACTTGTCATCTGTAGAGATCTTCTTTGGTAAAGCACCTGTTTTTTGTCCATTTTAAAATTTGATTATTTTTATTGTTGTTTTTTTTTTTTTTTTTTTTTTTTTTTTTTTTTTGTTCGTTTGGCAGTTCTCGCTCTGGTTAGATTCTTGTAGTCTAGTAGTGGATGGGAGGTTCTTTGATATGGTTCTGGCTACAAGGCCTTTATCAGATTCTTTGCTTTCCAGATATTTTCTCCCAATCTGTGTCTTGTCTTTTTGTTCTTTCATCAGGTGTTTTGAAGAGAAGTTTTTTATGATAAAGTCCAATTTTTCAGTTTTTTCTGTTAATGTGTGATCCTTTGGGCGTTAGTCCATTTTCACGCTGCTGATAAAGATGTACATACCCTGACTGGGTAATTTATAAAGAAAAAGAGGTTGAATGGACTCACCGTTCCACGTGGCTGGGGAGGCCTCACAATCATGGTGGCAGGCAAAAGGCACGTCTTACAGGGTGGCAGACGAGAGAATGAGAGCCAAGCCAAAGGAGAAACCCCTTATAAAATCAGATCTTGTGAGACTTATTCACTACCATGAGAACGGTGTGGGGGAACCGCCCTGTGATTCAGTTATCTCCCCCCACGTCCCTCCCGCAACACGCAAGAACGATCTGGGAGAAACCGCCCTGTGATTCAGTTATCTCCCCCCACATCTCTCCCGCAACACATGAGAATGGTGTGGGGGAACCGCCCTGTGATTCAGTTATCTCCCCTCACATCTCTCCCGCAACACATGAGAACGGTGTGGGGGAACCGCCCTGTGATTCAGTTATCTCCCCCCACATCCCTCCTGCAACACATGAGAACGGTGTGGGGGAAACCGCCCTGTGATTCAGTTATCTCCCCCCACATTCCTCTCGCACCACGTGGGGATTAGGGGAGCTACAATTCAAGATGAGATTTGGGTGGGGACACAGTCAAACCCTATCAGGTATCAGGGCTAAGAAATCTTTGGCTGTCTCAAATTCACAAGATTTTCTCCTGTATTTTCTTCTAGTAACTTCATAACTTTTGGTTCAGGATTGAGCAGGATTTTCGTTTATTGTACAAGGTTTTAATTCTTTATTTCCCCCACGAACACCCAATTGTTCCAGAACCATTTGTTGAAGAGACTGTCCTTTCTACATGGAATTGCCTTCGTATATGTTTCAAAAATTAGTTGTGTTTATACGCCTATTTCTGGACTCTGTTCTGTTTCGTTGGTCTGTCTGTCTTGCAGACCAGTACTGCACTGTTGTGATTACTACGGTTTTAACATAGTTGGTGAAATTAGGTAGCCCCTCGTTTTTCGTTGTCAATGTTGTTTTCTCTATTCTAGGTTCATTACCTCTCCATATGAATTTTAGAATCAGCTTGCCAGTTTGTACAAAGAAGCCTGTGGGATTTTGACTGAGGTTGCTCGATTCTGTGGATTAATTTGGGGGAGAAGTGCGTTCCCAACACCCAGAGTCTCCCGGCCTGTGGACAAGGCATGTCTGTCTGCCTGTGTGGAGGTCGCCTGGATCTCTGTCCACAGTGCTCCGAGCTTGTCACCTGCAGGTTTTTCTTGGCCTGTTCCGTTCCATCTCTATGTGTTTCATGGTGTTGGAAGCTTTTGTAAGTGATATTTTCCAGATGACTTTCTGGTGCTGAGTTCTACTTTAATTCCACGATGGTCCTATAACATAGTTAGAATTATGAAATTCCTAAATAGACTGAGCCTTCTTTCATGGTTTAGCATGAGGTCGTCTTGGTACATAGTTCAGGTGCTCCTGAAAAGACTGGACCTTCTGCTCTTAGAGTTGAAGCGTTTATCCAGGTGAAACAGGTCAAATTGGTGGATCATGTGATCCCTGTCCTCCTGATTTTTTGCCCGTTGTTCTATCAGCTACTGAGAGAGTGATGTTGAAGTCTCCGATTGTCATCATGGACCCGTCTGTTTCTCCGGCCAGTTTGGTTTCATTTGTTTGGCAGCTCTTTTATTAGTACACACGTGTTTAGGATGATTATTTTCCCTTGATTAATAGATCTCTTTATTATTGTAAGTTACCTTCTTGGTAATAGTATGTGCTCTGAAATTTACTATTTCCGGTATTAGTAGCGTCTCCGGCTTTCTCTTGCTGGTTTTCTTAGTGATGGCATGTTATGCCTTTTTGCATCTTTGTATTTAAAAGTCTTTATTGTCGGCGGTGTCTCACTGGGTGTTGCTTTTTAATCCAGTATGAGTGTCTGCCTTTTAATTGTGGTTAGGCTACTTACATCTAATTTGATTATTGATATGATTAGTTTTGATCTTGTCATTTTACTATTTTCTGCTTGTCTGTCTCTTCTTCATTCCCTTCTTCCTGTTTTTTTTCTTTTTTCCTTTTACCTTTTTTCAATCTACTTCGCTGTTTTTCTGATTTTGTTTGATTTCCTTTTTTGGCATACAGTATAATCACCTTATAGCCACAATGTTGGTTTTTCTCCTCCAGCCTTTATACTGTTGTCATACATTTTATTTAGTCCATATATTAAATCCCCAATATATTTTCATTAATTTTGTTTAATCCATTAATCACTTTAAAACGTTAATAATTTAAATTTTTTAAACAGACATGAGTATAAGAAAGCTCTCCCTACGTGCAGTTGCTGTTCCAGCCCTCCGGGTTCCCCGTGCAGATCCGGGTTTATGTGCCCCGCCCCACCCTCATCCTCTGCCTGCAGGCCTTCCCTGACGTTTCTGTAGAGCAGTTCAGCTGATGATGAATTCTTTCAGCTTTCATGTCTGATCCGAAGGCGTCTTTATTTGCTTTTGTTTTCGGAAATGCTTTCACCGTTCTAAGGTGGTGGTTTTCATTTCTATTGGCATTTCAGAGATTTCTCTCTCCTCTTTTCTCCGTTGCACTTTTTCTCATGAGAACCCCACCTTGTGCCTCCGTAGGCACTGCCTCTGCCTTGAAGGTGGTTTTCCGTGCTGTGGTCCTGAGCAGGCTTGTCCTGATGTGCTCTGGGGCTGCCAGCGTCTTGTTTCCCGGGCCTGTGTTCCTTGTGCTGCCTTATGTCTGTTGAGCTTCCTGCATCTGTAGCTTTATACTTTCCATTGAATTTGGAACTTTCTGACAGTATTTGTCCCGGCATTTCCTCTGCTTCCTTTCCTCTGGGAACTCTCATTCGTGTATTTTATGCCTCATGAAGCCGTCCCACAGCTCAGTGATTCTCTTTTCATTTTTCAGAAATCTTTTCCTCTCTGTGTTTGCTTATTTATTTGTTTTTGACATAGGGCCTCGCTCTGTCACCCAGGCTGGAGTGCACTGGGGTGATCTGGGCTCATTGCAGCCTCCACCCCCCGGGTTCAAGCGATTCTTAGGCCTCAGCCTCCTGAGGAGCTGGAACTACAGGGGTACACCACCATGCCCGGCTATTTTTTTAATTTTTAGTAGAGAAGGGGTTACGCCATGTTGGCTAGGCTGGTTTTGAACTGCTGGCCTCCAGCGATCCAGCTGCCTTGGCCTCCCAAAGTGCTGGGATTATAGATGTGAGCCACCGCGCCCGCCTCTGCGTTTTGTTTTTGATAGTTTCTGTTGCTGTGCCCTGACGGATTCTGTTTCTCTAACGGATTCTGTTCTGTCATTAATCCCATCCAGTGTGTTTATCTGAGATGTTGTAGTTTCCACTTCTACATGTGTCTTTTCCATGTCTGAACTGTTCCATTTTTCCACTAGATTTAACAACTCTCTTAATGTCCCCGTTTGCCAGTGTTGCTGTCCGTCCAACACTGTGTCTTGGTAGGTGTTCGTTGATTGGTTAATCCCTTCATTATAGGCCATGTTTTCCTGCTGCTTTAAATGTCTGGTAATCTTTGATTGGATGTCAGGCATTGTGAATTTTAGCTTGTTGTGTCCTAGACATCTTTGCATTTGTATACATCTTCTTGATCTTCTTTCAGAGATGCAGTTAGGTTTCTTGGCAAGAATTGGGTTTCCTCGGGTCTTGCTGTTGTGGTGTGTTGGAGCACCCTGGAGCAGGTCTCAGGCTGGAATAGCTGTCCCCACTCCTGTCTCCACTCCTGTCCTCACTCCTGTTCCCCCTCCTGTTCCCCCTCTTGTCCCTACTCCTGGCCCCACTCTTGTCCTCATTCCTGTCCTCACTCCTGGCCCTGTGCGGTGTCGAGTAATCTTTCCATCACTGTGGGCCTTGACAGACTTTTTGATTTTTAAACCACATGAATATATTTTTCATTCAAAATATTAGATCTAGAAGTGAAGACAAAACTAGACAGCTTCTTACAGTGAACTACAACTGGCCCCATTCCGGTTGCGGCCATGAAGGTTTGTTTTGCATTCTTTTCCCACTGCGGAGAAGGGAACTCACTGTGGTCACCCCGAAGCCTGCTTTTGTTTCTCATCTGTATTGTGCCTCTGTGGTCCCCCGTCATCAGCTCCTTCCACACCCCGCAGTCGAAGTCCTTTCCTGTCTTTTCCTCATTTCTGAAGATGTCCTGAGGTCGCTTTCCTGTCCCTCAGTGTCCCCTGCACTCCGCCGTGACATCACCCTCTGGGAGTGGCTGACGGACACACTGACTCCCAGGCGTCCTGCCTCGGGCTGGTTCCCACAGCCAAGGTGTGGTCGACGGAGACTTTCTCTGCACAGGCTCCTCCAGCTGAGCGGGGGCTGCCACGGACTCCCCCATCCTGTACTTGTGTCCTTTTCCAGTTTTCTCTTGATGTTATCGCTGGACTCTGAGCTTCACAGACATGTATTTAAAACTAAAGCTGTAGAGCTGGATCTCCTAACCTTTCGCTTCCTTGTCACCCAGAGGGCAGGACTTCCCCAGCATGGCTGGCCACGGACACCTGGTCACCGTCTTGCTCTCTTTGCAGGTTGAAGGTCGAGGAGCTGGAGGGCGAGCGGAGGCGGCTGGAGGAGGAAAAGAGGATGCTGGAGGCACAGCTGGAGCGGCGTGTGCTGCAGGTGAGGGCGGGGCAGCTTCTGGGGGCGGCACCGCCTGGGGCCTCGCATTTCTCTGTGCAGCATGAACGTCCGTGGTTCCTGCCGCCACAGAACACCTGTTTTCCGGCTCGTCTCTCTGAACTCTCTGGGCTCTCCTTCCTCCCATGTGCACCGCCTTGCCTGGCCGGGAGGCCGTGCCGCTGAGAGGCCTGCACTGGTCGCCCCTGGGGTCCTCTCCGCCCTGCGCCACCCACACGCCTGGTATTAGTGGAGTGGGCTCTGGGCGAGTTTGCACTATGCCCACCTGGGATCTGCCGTGCGAGGCTGGACTGCTGTTTGTGTTCTTTTAATTGTTCTTTCTCTTTGGTTTTCATCCTCCTGTCTGAGTTGCTGCATGGCAGGAAGCCCTCAGGTTTGAGGTTACCGGGTTTTTGGACAGGCCATTGATTTTATCTTGGCATCTATTAGAGGCAGATCAAATCTATTTTTTATGACCAGTTCCTGGAGATGGGAGGAGTGACATCTGTGGTGACGGGCAGCTCTGAGCCGCGCTGGCCTGTCCTCAGCCTGTCATCTTGTTTTAATTGGGCCGTGGTGTCCAGGGAGGGGTTACGGAGCTACTGCCCACCCACCAGAGGCTTCGCATCAGAGCTGCTGAACGTCTTTCTGGGTGTTGGGCTGAGCAGAGCCTGAACCCTGCTCCTTGACGCCCACGTTGCCTGCTGATGGGGGGTCAGGCATCCCCGCAGGCATCACTTACCGCTTTCCTGCTCCTGCTTCCAGCCCTTTCCCGAGGGCACCCTCAGCGGCCGGCCCTTGGAGCTGGTTGAGGCGTGAACAAGGCGAGGGGTGTGGATGAGTGCTGTGCCAGCACCTGGTGAACAGCTGGCGGGGCCTGGCCACCATCCTCGTCTTGTGCAGAAACAATGTGTGCTCAAGAGCTCACTAGTGGAGCACTCCTCTGTGGGAGATGCCAAGGGCTGTCACACACCACGGGGTTGGCATGAGGAATGGGGCTGGCAGTGTCACCTGTGACCCTCCCCTGAGCTCTGCCAGGGCCTTGGAGGGGTGGGGGCTCTGCCCCCCCGCATGTCCTGCAGCTGCTCAGAGCTGAGGCGTGGTGTTGGCCACCCCAGAGCATGGGTGCCACAGTGTGGCCAGCGTGGCCATTTGGGGAGAGGACAGGGCTGGGCCTGGTGGTCCTGGGGAAGCAGATGTTTATGCCATGATGTGACCTCGATCCTAGCTCAGGATTCAGGAGCTGTTCCTCCTGGGTCAGGGCAACAGGGATGACTGTCTGGATAGCGTGGGAGAAGTGCAGAGCAGTGAGGTGGGGAGGCCGCTGGGGTTTGGCCTGTGGAGTGTTGGGAACTTCCAGCCAGCCCTCCAGCTGCTGCCACCTCTGACACCGCCTACAATTTCAACCTTAGTCGGGGGATGCCCAGGGTGGCCCTGGGAAAGGTGAGGCCTCACTGGCCCTGTGGTGGCTCAGGCTGCCCCTGACTCTGGACACCCAGGGCTGTGCAACTGAAGGAAATAATGTAAATAGGGGTCTATTTCCAAGATAAAGTGCCTTGAACCGGCTTAGGTCAGCAAACTACAGAAGAAACAGGATGTACCAGGCCCCTGCTTGGATCACTGATGCCTGTTTGTCAGGCTCCCCTTCCCCCCCTCCCCCACACCCACCTTACTTGCCCTCATCCAAACCAAAGAAGTTTAGTCTAAGATGAAAGTTTACTAGTCTGCAAAATAGTTCGTTTTGCCTGTTCTTACCGGCTTGCCCAGCCACTTAGATTGTAACTCAAATATCTGAAGAGACCCTGAGCTGACTAGGATTGCATTGCATCGTGGGCTGCAACAAAATGCAGCAAGACAACCCCCCCAAAAAAAACCTACAGCCCCTGCCCAACAACCAATAGGCGATGTCCAGGAAGACTGTGGACCCCCCCCCACCCCCGCCATAGTGCTCAGCCTGTGAGGAACCGGGGGAGGGGCCTGCACACTAGGGGATAAGTGGCTTGTGACCATGCTGGGTGTGCCTGCCCACCTGACACCCGATCTTGCAAGACCACTGAAAGTCTCTCTTTTGGCCAGGCAGGGTGGCTTACACCTGTAATCCCAGCACTTTGGGAGGCCGAGGCGGGTGGATCAGCTGAGGTCAGGAGTTCAAGGCCAGCCTGGCCAACATGGTGAAACCCCGCTTCTACTAAAAATGCAAAAATTAGCTGGGCGTGGTGGTGGGCACCTGTAGTTCGAGGCAGATTGCAGTGAGCCAAGATCACGCCACTGCACTCCAGCCTGGGCAACAGAGCGAGGCCCCAGGAGCTGGCTGCCACCCCCGCACCCCCTGTGCGATGCCCTCCCCGCTCCCTGCTCCCACTCCCTCTGGAAGCCTCAAGTTAGGCCGCTTCAAGGAAGATTGATTAAAATCAGCTGCCGTCTGACTTAATTGGGAACATATGCTTGGAGAGGGGCTTGACTAGTTAAAACTTTTTGTAATTAGTTCACAGCTGGTTGGCGAGGAAAGAGAATTCCAGTTACCCCTTAGAGCTGGGCGCAAGTGCCGCTGCCCTCCCGTGGTGCTGGGGCCGGGAAACCAGGGCTGGTAGGGCTGTCACTGGGCCCTGCTGTGGCACTGGCCTTTCTGGGTCTACCTAAGAGCCCAGAGCTGTCCACACACTCATTAGGGCCAACTGTGTGCGCCCTTGTGTTGCTGAAGGGGCTGGAAGTGGGTGGGTGGGGCCTCCTGGGCGGCGGGGCCTCCCATCCAGTGGTGGGGGTGGGAGAGCTTGGGCGCCCACCGAGGGTGGCTGGCTGGGCTGCTGGCGCCCCCTCTAGAGATGGGGAAAGTGAGGCCCACAGGGAGCCTGCGTATGAAGGAGGAGCTCAGACGCTCCGTGTTGGGGCGGCAGAATGAGGCTTGAACGTGTTGCAGTGTTCTCAAGTGAAGACAGAAATCGGGCAGACCCCATGGAACTCCAGATCTGGCGGCAGAGGGACCCTGTGGCGATTGGTGCAGCTGCAGGAGTCCGGTCAGGTGGGCGGCACAGTCCCTCACCCCACCTGCAGCCACAGCCTCCCGCCCCACCCCTGTCCCCACTCCCTGAGTGTGCTCTGTGCTTTTCCACCGGCCTAGAACCAAGGAGCTGGGGCCCCAGCGCTTTGTCCTCTTCTGGCTCCTGGCTGCCCTCTGATGTCCCACCTCATGGTGGGGACACTGGGCCTTGCCGGCTTGGACCCCACAGCCTAGGGTGGGTCAAGGCTCTGCCTCCCACCGGCTGCAGCCTGGCCTCGGCGTGCTCCCCAGGATGTGGAGGGCATGGGCCTTTCTCGCAGGGTGTCTCTGGAGATCTCAGGTGATGGCTCCTGGAGGGCCCTGTACGTACCTGGTGAACCAGGCCTGCATGGCGGCCATTTCTGTTATCTATCATAATACCGTCATCCTCACCTCCGAGACACGTGCACGTTTTCCACATCTGTGGTTCTGATGGGCCACATTCCCAGATGGAGGGCACCAAGCTGGGGCGGGACACATGGTGAGGCCGGTGGGGGCTCACAGGCCGCCCTGGGTAGAGAGGGGCACGTCCAGTGGAGGCCGCACTGGGCAGGACACCAACCTTCTGGCTGGGTGGGCGCATCTCCACCTGACAGTCCCACCCAGCAGCCACCAGCTTCTGTGCATGAAGTGTGCAGCGTGGGCCAGCACCCATGCCCTATGGGGCCCTCGTGTCACCCAGCAGTGATGGGAGCAGTATTCAGACTCAGCCCTGTTGGGTTTTTTCAGCATTTGATTATGAACATTTAAAGATTCATTGTGACGCTGAGAGAAGTCTGCAGCGAGCGCCTGTTCACCCACCACCAGAGCTCCACCGTGGACGCCCCGCCGCGGGGCCTCCTGACAGCTCCTTATCCTTCGCCCAGCCGCCGCACCACTTCATTCTTCTGACGCGCTTTAAGTAAATTGCAGACATCTGCACACTTCCTCTAAATGCCTCCGTGTGCGTTTAATTAAGTAGAATTCATCTTTGGGTTCTGAAGCCCATGCTCCAGCCGTTCCTCAGTGTGGCCTCATCACGGTGCTTGTTTGGGCAGGTTGGTGGTCAGGGCTGGTGCAGCCCCTCAGGGCAGCTCCCTGCCCGCCCCACCTGCCTACTCCTCCCTAGCGGGGGCCTTGGTGGGGTCTGTGGCTGGGGCTAATCTCAGTGCCCCAAGTGCTGCTCAGGAAAGAGACCAGACAAGGGCCCCGCGACGTTTAAAATAAGTGCATCTGTTTTGGGAAGGAGTGGGTAGAAGAGTGCCGGGTTCCCTGTGCGCAGAAACTGGAAGCACACGGAGACCGTTCTGCTCCCGTCTGCACCAGCAGGCAGGCGGTGCAGTCCCTCACATCCCTGGTCGGTGTCCCTGGGACCAGGACGGGGCGGGCCCATCACCCCTTCTCACCCCCTCCCTGAGATGCCATCCCTGTGGCCCCCAGACCCCTGGAATTCTGAAGCCCCCAACCCTTAGCTGCCCTGGGAGAGGGCTGCATCCCCTCCTGGAGCCACAGCTGCCCCCTTTGTGCCGGCATCCGTGCCCAGCTGTGGTGGGCTGGGGTGGAGTCCCTGTCCCTGTCCCGGGGCCTCCCAGCAGGTGCTCTGAGCCAGTCTCCTCAGGTCTAGCCTCTCCCGCTTGCTGGACTCCTCCTAGGGATGCATGTGGCTCATCAGTGGGACCTTTGTTCTGTGTTCGGCTCTTTCTCCTGAAACTTCTACCGTGCTGGAAAGAGTGTGGCCTCTGGACTGGGACGACGGGCCTGGTGTTAACCTGGCGGCCTCGGGAAGTGCTCCTCTCTGAGCCCTGCAGGCCTCCTCTGTGAGGCGAGGGAGTTGAACTTTTCCTGGGAGGCAGGATCATGGGAGGGCAGCTCTGTGGGGCCTGTGGGACTCCGTGCCCACAAGCCCAGCCCTCCCGTGCGTGAGCTGTCTTCACGCACCTCCTCTGTGCCGGGCGCTGCTCTAAGCCAGAGCACAGCAGGGGCCAAG